GTATAAACATTATCATAAATTTAGGGGTTTTTCGTGGGGCACCCTGTATAAATACTGCAACTCCCTGTGTACTAATTATCATGATGCTGGCTCATAGGGTGGGTTCAAGTGTGACCCCAAAACGTCCGAAGAATAAACTTATTGTCCCAGCATTGCATCTACTTCTTCTCAATTACCCTATGGGACTCGCATTTTCGAATGCCATCCAACTGCCTATGGTACCCTCGTAAGAGGACCTAGATTATTTCGACGCATAACAGCTCAAATCCGTCTTTAATGTCAAAGCTGTACTTATCAATGAATGTTCTTGTGACAAAGGTTACGACATAAACTTTTGTCCCCTCACAATCTGTGAGGCGATTGCCGCTTAAAAGACTGTACCGCAAAAGTAATACGGTCGTTATAGAGCAGCCAGTACCACCTGAGACATTTTGAACAGCGTCTAAATCGTAGCCCGAAGTCGAAGACAGAACAATGTGAGAGACCGACAGCCAGTTCTCGTAGTTGTCTTGTTGGGCGGCTAACGTCTTGGCATACGAACTTGGCCGAGCTGAAGTCGGAGGCGCAGGATGTGATCATGCCTCGGATTTCAGATCCGAACGCTGTATGGTGAACTGATGTCAGTGCACCCTCACGTGTAATTTTCAATCAGTCTTAGGTGTATTTTTGTTAAACGAAATGCAGATAAAAATTGCTCGAAAAAAATGCGACAAAGGTATATATTTACGTGTAGAACCGGGTAAGTGCAAGTAAATTTACAATAAAATAGAATACTCCAAAATGGGTCGAGACGAGATCAGGTAGTGATGATGAAGGATAAGAGTCCCAAAAGCCCCGAAGGTAAGTCACAGCCTGGGTCCGCTGTTAGAAGACAGAACCGAGGATAAGGAGGAATTAGCTGGATGACGCAATTGGCATTCCTGATCAGACAATGGACATGATGGGGAGTAAGAATGGCCTTGAAAACTAACTCGATGTTGATTAGGGCACAGGAAAGGCCGCGACAGTCGAGTCATCATCAACGTAGGTGTGTGTGTACTGCGGATGTATAAATGCAGGGCGCTGGTAGTTAAAGAAAAGAAAGGATTGTCATTAAAATACGTTCCATAGGTAAGGCTAATTTGGATTTCATACGAAGACTTTGGCCAAACCATCTGCACCAGCGCTAGCCATCAAGGGCCGTGTCGGATGGAAAGCAACGCAGTGTATCGACTCGTCAAACTTCTTTCGATGACTTGTCAGCTCTTGGACGCAAGTCTTGGTCTCAATGTCCCACAAGCGGATAGAGCAGTCGTGACCTAAAAATTGTCAAAACAAAAAGTTTATTAAATTAATACGTAAAAAGGTGAGTAGGTACTGCTGATAGAAGCGGTCAGGCGAGTTCCAGGAAGGTGTGATCACTCACATAAAAAAGTGTATTTGCTTGACGTTTCCGATTCTGGCCTGAACCCATCATCATAGGTAACAGCAGAAAACGATGATAAAGAAACAAGCCACGCGGTATTTA